AAAACAGATTTACTTTACTCAAGTTAGTCGTGTACTCTTGTTTGAAAGCTACTTTAATTGGCTACGAAGCCAAATACGGCATGCGGTCTTTACTAATAGCAGCAGGAGCCTTAATATGACGTAATCGGCAGAAAGGCATTCCTGGTAGGGAGTGCTTGTTATACTTCAACGGACGTACCCGAGTCAAATCTAAACAGAAAACTGAAACAAATCGATAGGAACTCTTGTTTTGTAGGCTGGAAATTGATGACAACTATACCCAACAGCAAAAGCACATGTTTAAGGAAGTAAATCTTATTAACAAGTCATCTTGACATTAGCTCTGATGAGCGAACTTTTCTGATGGCAAAAAACTGACCTTATGTGGCGATTTTCTCATCATACAATGTTTTTTATTATAAATTTGCTGGATTGCTTTTAATTACTATTGTGTTGAATTGAAATAGACAGATTTTAAGATCGTTAATTATTGATGAATCATAAAAGGTTATTCATCTGAAAAAGACCAGCCAACAGCATCCCTCAATGAAGCATGTGGTGAAAGTGGAAAGAAACAACTCCATTTTAATAGGAGGAGACCCCCAACAGATCATAACAAGGATTGGTGTTGCTGACTATCTGCTGATTTGATGAAGGTAAAACTTTACGCCAGCCACACATGACATATCTACATAAACCGGCATGTATTTTGGAGCCAAAGTGTGCACAGCAGACTGGTTATCATTAGTTGTACTCTGCATTCAGAGAGAATCAGCTTCAGTCTCTACGAAGTCATGAGCAGTGGTGCCAGTGGCCATGTGAGCATGGAAAAAGCAGATGGTAACACTCTAAAGTGGGGAGCTTCTTTAAAGTAAGTGATGACATGCAATTCTTTTATGGTGATCAGGAATTACATGGCAGCAGTGGAACTACATACATATGTGAGGTTCTCATGCAACATGAAGCATTCGAGGCCTGCAATTCCTTAATCTGCTGATGACTTTAAATATTGATGACAAAGACATGTGGCAAGAAAACAACCTCTCCTCTTCTTTAGAACATTGTACTGGAGCCAGTCTAGAAAGACAATAAAAGGGCAGAAAGCTGCACAAAGCCCAGCTCACATAAACTATCAAAGTAAGACACTGCAGCAGGTTTCCTGTTGCTTTGCAAAGCACGTGAGAGAGAACTTTGCCTTAGGAACCACCTCTTAATCATCTTCTGTTTCTTGGCAGAGAGAAATCTGTAAAAACACAAGGCCCTTTCAGAAGCCCCAAGGATAGAAGGCCTGTTGCCATGAAGTCATATCTGTTGGCAAGCTTCCCTGGGTCTGAGTTACTTGCAGAGAGCCAACAAAGCACATACCACCCCCTGTGCCTTACAATCCAAGCAACAAGAATCCCAGCACAAGGAGAAAACATGAATTAATGTACTGCTGGGACAGCAAAGGTTTTTGTTCAAAAGGGAAGACGTCATACAGATTGCAAAGAATTCACCCTGCCTTTGTTTAACTTTCCTGGTCAATAATCAGCAGGCAGCAGCTCTCGTGACCTCCTGAGGGAGCTCCTCCTCCTCCTCAGCTGGTATAGTACAGAGCCTGCAAAAAATACCTAGATTTTACAGTGTCCACAAAGAAACTGGACACATCAAGGAGTAAAGAGTAGGCAGCCCAGAGGATCCATCAGAGGAGTCTTTTGATAAGGAACTCAGGCAAAGCTTAACAAAAGCCATCCATCTATTCCTTTAGAATACCTGGTTGGAGAGGTGGTAGTGCCAATGCAGGGACACCCTGGAAAGGTCATAGGGCCATAACAAAACCATGCATGCAAACCCACCTGAGGGCATTACAGGGTCAGTGTTGTGCATGAATGCATTCAATGAACGGTGTTGACTGAATATGTTCATAGTTTTGGTGAACAGTAAATGGACCGCTTTTGAAGTGATAAACTTGAAAGAGATAAGTTCCCTCCGAGACTGTAGCGACACACACAGCTTATGTTTGGGATCAATTGATAACAACACTTTCCATTGATATCAACAGGTTTTACTGCACCTACTACGGCAAACAGCTGTCATACTTGAGTGTCCAATATCAAATACAGACTGAGTTCAATGACCTGAGGCAAAATGTAACAAAATGATGTGTAAACTTGCCACCACCAAACTTTTCAGCTTCAACCCACAACTAAAACAGAGGTTAGTCTGTGCACCTGTTGAGCAGAGTGCATAGTCAATCAAATGTGGCATTTATCCCATGATGCATCATTGACCATAAAATGGTTTTAATGTTACATAATACTTATAAGATCACCTTTAAAACTCCAGAAAATGTTGATTCATGATCACAAGTGAGGTCCTATCTCCAACTTAGAAAACCATAGGCTCAATCCCAATCAGCAAAGTCGGTATGGACATTTAAGTCCAAATGCATCAGTGGTTGCCATGATAACTGCTGTCCAACTAGGCTGGCAGTAAGGAAGGATTAGGAAGCAGGATGCTTCCTATCAATAGAACATACAGTTTTCTACAATCCTTTGTGTGACAGTATGCATAAGCACAGCACACTTCACAGAGTGCAACAAAAACTACATATTTCCATGTGTACTCTGGGTGACACATGCTAATGTATACACTTCCATGTGTTTTTTTATGGAGCTTCAGCTGTTTGCTACATTTGTGTTACTTTTGTTTTTTTGAAGTTTTTTGTAAGACTAGTCCCAATTTTACTGGCATCATTAATCCAGTAATTACACAGGGAAGGGCTGTCCAAATACACCACAGCTTTTTGGACTACCTTTTCGACTCTGGTTAGTGTTCTTACTCTTGTCTTACTGTGAAAATAGAATGGGAGCTAGGGACATAAAGCATCAGCCATGAACCTATGGTTAAGGCAGGACTTTCACTGATTTGTAAAAGTTGGCCAACTTGATCTGATTGGCTGACCAACTTTCAGCAACTCTGCATGCGAGATTTTTGGACAGGGTGCATTGTACTTGTTAATTTCTTTGGGCAGATAAATGTTTACTGTAGGGCAGGCGCAAAGATATATCAATAGACTTTGTGTATTTATTTGTGAAGAGATTCAGTAAAGGGTTAAGGGAAGGGCTAAATTAGGCTGAATCTTGGTCTCTGAATCTTTTTTGGGGGAGTATTCTTTCCCTTGTGGTTGATCTCCAAAAAACTTCTGTAAAAATTGGATGCATCTTCAAGAAGCAGTTCCCTTAGGTCAAGCCAATGGTAATTCTCATGTACTTTATGTAACTTGCATGAGATGTTAAACTATGTGTAGTGTTTAACTCAGGGGGACCCCTGCTTATTGGCCCGATTGTCGACACGTAAGCTTTTGCAGCAAAGAGGTGATGGTTTAGGGCTGGGAACGTAGCGTGCCCATGGATTGTCCTCAGGAGCATTTAGACATTGAGGTCTCTGAGAGAAAAACTGCCTGAGTTGTCATCACCACCAACCCACAATGCACACACAGACTCCACACAGCCCCGCCCAAGTCGAACTCAAGCACCAACACACACACACAGGGTGCTGACAGGGAGCTCTGCCTTCACATTATGTCAGATAGCGATCGATGCTTTGCACAACATCAGCTTATATTTAGAACGACAACAGTCGTCCACTGAACACCTTTGGTTGCAAGAGTCATCAAGTCCACAGCCTGATGAGTGTCAGCTCGGCCCGATTGTCAGCCGAACCTTTGTGCTTACCAACGGTTTGGATCCAGTTTCTAAACTGATGAAACTCCTGAGACAGCGGAGCAGAAATACCTTAAATCATTCAAGACAAATGGCTCCATCTCTCAGTCTGCTGCTTTTCTCTCACGCACGCAGATTTAGTGGTAATCCGACTCTAAACAGCACTGCAGGGGTGGCCTGCAAAACCCAATCTGTATCAATTCTGCAGCATCTCATTCCTCCCCATTAAAGCCACATGAGCCTGCGCCTTGGAGGACACTGGTTCAATGGCTTTGTGAGAATTAAAGGTAATTATTGGCAGAAGGAGCTCACTTTAGATGCAGACACACAAGCCTGAACAATCAAACATTAAAACGACCACATGTGTCACGTTACGCTGCAGACAACAAAAGTCTTTCAATAGAGCTTCATCCATGATCACTTCCACCCTAAATTATTCATAGAGCAGGGCTGAATCAAGGCTGTAATGGGTCCACAGCAAAATCTGATTTGGGGATCCCCTTCCAGTTAAGCCTATCACCTAGTAACCATAAGGCTGTCTTTCCACCCTTTAATATTAAATGTATAATTTTTGAGTAACTTTTGAATAAAGTTATTAAGTTAAATCAGTTATGCTGTTTGCATGACTGCAATAATGAAACAAATATACTGACTTTTTTTTGCATATCAAGGTTTCTACAGTTAAAGGCACAACATGCAAATTTGATTAGTGCTTTATCTTATCTTAACAAAGTGTATTTCTCCACTGTGAGATCAATAAAGTCTATATATAGGGGAATATCAGTATTTACTTTTAACTAAATTATTTTTTTAAAGTATTTCATTTTCTGAGCCATAAATCAAACATTAGGATTTAACATTTAAAATTATTTCATCTTAAGCCAATTTTTTATTCAGCAAAGCAGAGTTTAATTTGGACCAATAAGTTCTAACTTGAATAGGCAGTGATCAAGGAAAGAAAAGAATAAACTCCTTAACTGGATGAATTATGATTGGAAGCTCATAGATAATTGATTATTTTCCCTGAGTGGAAGGAGAGTTAAGCTCCAGTTCTACTTCGCATCTCAGATCGCTCTGATCTTTGTCACCAGGAGCGGATCTTCTGCAGCTGAACCAAAGATGCGCTCCGCTCTGCCCTGCATAAGGTGCGTCTCTGGCTGTGAAAATAAGCTCCGGGTTGCTCTGCAAGTGAGCATAAGTTAATCAGCTGCTCATTAAACCATAGGTCAGAGAAACACCTAGAAATGCTCAGAAACTGATCATACAGAACTCCTGGATGTCCTACAGAGGTGTCCCTGCAGCCGGAGCTTGCCTTACCTCTGGGCGCGGCGGCAGGTTTGTAGCCCTTCTCGTTGGTGCAAACTCCCCGGCCGTGCAGCAGGGCGTGCAGGGGCTTCTCCTCTCCGCTCCTTGGCAGGCATCTCAGGCCCTTGGTGCAGGTGCCGGTGTAGACGCCGCACGCCTGCCCCTCGGCCAGGGCGCAGGTCAGGCAGCAGCCGCAGCCCGGCTCCTTCACCAGCTGGCAGCCGACCGGAACCGGCGGGCACATGGACAGCGCCTTCTCATCGCAAGGTTCGCAGGGGACGTAGGATCCCGTGCAACGGGAGAGCCCCAGGATGAATGTCACCAGGAGGCAGCAGTTTACAAACATCGCCGGAGTCTCTTCAGATCGCTGCAAAAAAAATTCTGAAACACCAGGAGAAGAAGGGGGAAAAACTGCTCCTGGTCTAATGAACACAATGTCTCAGTCAGATAATCCGATTTTTACAGTTAAAGCCAAGCGTCTTTATCCAGGAGTGCAGCTATCTAATAAATACCCACATTTACAGCAGGCTTTCTTACTGTAGAATCTTTTTAATTTGTAATAATTCAAGTAGTTATTTTTTCTGTAGATGTAAAGTCCTCCGCAGGAGGAAAAACGAGCAGAAAAAGCTGAACTTCTGTCCTCTTATGTTGAACTTCTGCAGACTTTCTCTAGCACCAGTTTCCTGAGCAGACTGATCAACTGGAGACCTGCCTTGCCTTTTTAAAACAACCGTGCCCAAAACCCCGGACCATGAATACCCTGAGCAGCCGGAGAGGGAGGCGCACTTGTTCCAGGCTTGGACGCTTGCCAAAAGTTTTTTTTTTCTTTCCCTTCCAGCAGTAGGAGGAGGATCACAGTTTCACCCCGAAGGCTGAACTGATGCGACAAGGAGCTGAAGAGCTTCTGCAAAACTTGCAGGTCGTCCACATGCAGATTTGAAACCATTTCAGAAGCATGAGGCTTTCCTTTATTTACCTTTGCGCGTAAAACGGAGAGAAAGAAGTGGATCTGTTTTCCCCTTAGTCAAAAAACTGTTTTCTGTTATCCAAAATCCCCTGTTGATGCAACCGAATGCGTCACACTTCTCTTTGTCATCACATGAGTGGAATATCCCCTATAAGTGAAAGGAAAAGTATAATTTAATTTGCGCAAAAAAAGCATTAATCTTGATCTGAATCTGTCACTCAATTTTCTAATAGGTGCTTCCCAGCTCCTTCCTCCCCCCCTGTTGCTGTTTAGGTAACCCTGACAGATCGTGTGGAAGTCATCACTAAACTCCGCAGCACCTGTTGCTTCCATTTGAGCCGAGGAAACAGGTTCTGCTACTGGCTGCTTTACGCACAGAGGACAGGCAGTTAGTGCAAAGCTGTGAGAGGAGATGTGTTGTAATAGTCTCCCTGTATGCATGGAGCTTAAACCCCCTGATTACTGCAGCGTGTTTTCCTTCTGGGACATGAGCAAGATGCCGCACATCTCTGTCAAAACTGTATAGCAAAGCTTTATTCCTGTAATGCAACCTGAAGTAAATATTTAACGTTCAAGCCTCCCTTCTAATACATGTTTTAAAGTTGGATGGTGTTATAATTCCCTCAGATTAAGAGTCAACCACTAGAAGGCGCTGTTAACAATGGTATGATCACTTCTGCATTCCTTAAATACACTATATTGCCAAAAGTATTTGCTCACCTGCCTTGACTCACATATGAGCTTAAGTGACATCCCGTTCCTAATCCATAGGGTTCAATATGACGTCGGTCCACCCTTTGCAGCTAGAACAGCTTCAACTCTTCTGGGAAGGCTGTCCACAAGGTTTAGGAGTGTGTTTATGGGAATTTTTGACCATTCTTCCAGAAGCGCATTTGTGAGGTCGCACACTGATGTTGGACGAGAAGGCCTGGCTCTCAGTCTCCGCTCTAATTCATCCCAAAGGTGTTCTATCGGGTTGAGGTCAGGACTCTGTGCAGGCCAGTCAAGTTCATCCACACCAGACTCTGTCATCCATGTCTTTATGGACCTTGCTTTGTGCACTGGTGCACAGTCATGTTGGAAGAGGAAGGGGCCAGCTCCAAACTGTTCCCACAAAGTTGGGAGCATGGAATTGTCCAAAATGTCTTGGTATGCTGAAGCATTCAGAGTTCCTTTCACTGGAACTAAGGGGCCAAGCCCAGCTCCTGAAAAACAACCCCACACCATAATCCCCCCTCCACCAAACTTTACACTTGGCACAATGCAGTCAGACAAGTACCGTTCTCCTGGCAACCGCCAAACCCAGACCCGTCCATCAGATTGCCAGATGGAGAAGCGCGATTCGTCACTCCAGAGAACGCGTCTCCACTGCTCTAGAGTCCAGTGGCGGCGTGCTTTACACCACCGCATCCGACGCTTTGCATTGCACTTGGTGATGTATGGCTTGGATGCAGCTGCTCGCCCATGGAAACCCATTCCATGAAGCTCTCTGCGCACTGTTCTTGAGCTACATGAAGTTTGGAGGTCTGTAGTGATTGACTCTGCAGAAAGTTGGCGACCTCTTCGCACTATGCGCGTCAGCATCCGCTGACCCCGCTCCGTCAGTTTACGTGGCCTACCACTTCGTGGCTGAGTTGCTGTCGTTCCCAAACACTTCCATTTTCTTATAATACAGCTGACAGTTGACTGTGGAATATTTAGGAGCGAGGAAATTTCACGACTGGATTTGTTGCACAGGTGGCATCCTATCACAGTTCCACGCTGGAATTCACTGAGCTCCTGAGAGCGACCCATTCTTTCACAAATGTTTGTAAAAACAGTCTGCATGCCTAGGTGCTTGAATTTATACACCTGTGGCCATGGAAGTGATTGGAACACCTGATTCCAATAATTTGGATGGGTGAGCAAATACTTTTGGCAATATAGTGTATGACAGTTTTATCACAACCCTTAACTCTGAGTTGAAGCTGTAATCCAGGCTCTGCTGAGAGAATAACAAAAAAAAAGCTTTTCAGTGGAATCACTGACTGGATGATGAACTAATTTCACTTTTGTTTGGGAGAGCTCTGCTAATTGTGGTTTCCTTTCATAAATGGGACATATATACAAAGTTTTCCCTTCAGCTGTTTCTCAGTCAAACCCTTCATGAGTGTCACTGACATATCTGCACATTTTTCTCTTCTTTTTTTTTTTTCCTCAGGGTTCCCTCCCAATCCTCTGTCTCCGATGTCCCCTCCCAGGTCTTTTCTTCTGAGCAGAAAGATTTGAGTGAAACTCTTTTGTTGGAGAGACAGATTGGGAACTTTTAGTCACAAATGAGTCCAGGAGGTCCAACACAAAACGAAAAATCAACAAAACAAAAAAAAAAAGTAGTTTCCAGAAACTAAGAGGCGTGGCAGATTCCTCAGAAACCTAAATCGGGTGATAATGAAGAGATTAGGACAATAAAGCAGCAGGGCTTAATGATGCATCTCTGCATGGCGTTGATGACAAATTACCAAGGAAAATATTCCCCACCTAAAGGATGTGCATTGTGGCTGTTTTGACCACTGAAGGAACTCAATGTTCCAGCTCTTTTCTTCCCCTTTGCTCCCATTCTTTGCTCAATGCAAATCCTAATTCCCCTCGGATCTATTCATGCATCAATCCATCTGTTCCTCCCTTGGAGTCGGCACCACCCTCCACCTCCTCCTCCTTCTTCAGGCATCCTTCTGGCTTAAAGGAGCTCCAGCAAGGTTTTGCGCTGCTCAAAAGTGCAAACTCATGTCTGAATGTCTTCTCTGGGTGGTGTTGCGATCTCATTGCCAGAGGTCTCATCACCAAGCACTGCAGATTTACAGACTGATTCCTAGCTGCTGTAGCCCAGGGATAGAGAGAGGTTAACTTGGATTTTTCCTCCAGGAAAAATAAAGAAAAAGTAAGTTATGGTCATCCTGGTAGATTTGCTTGATTCCACCAGCAGGACTTAGTGTAAGATGCTGCTGTTGAGTTTGGATTGCAGTAATTTTCTTGGATTTGAGTGACCGTTTCTAATCTCCATCAACATTATGTCCTGTTTTCCCGGCAGGAATATCGTCAAAACTATCACTAAACCCTCTCTGGATTCTGCCAACCTTTTCTTTGTTTTTAAAAGCCTCTGACCTGATTGGCTCCTCATCTTTGCGATCATAAATCTGTCACTATTAACTGGTCCTCTTCCCAGCCTCTTCAAACATGCTGCAGCTGAGCTCAGCTGGGATCCACTTCAGCCAAAAAGCAAAAGATTCATTTCCGAACTTTTATTTCCGAAGTTTTAGAACAACTTGTTCTTGTGAAAAGCTGCTTTCTATTTTTTGGAACATCAAAGCATTTTTGATTAATTTGGTTTTCTCTAAATGCACTTCAGTGAAACTGATTTGGTTATTCAGTGACTTTACTACAGCTCCAGACTTTGGGGAGTTTAAATTTAACTGATTTTGATTGATCCTACCATGGCTTTTTATGGCAAAAACAACACCTTTTAGAAGCACTGAAATCCGCAGCTGTCCAAATGGACAAGAGAAACGTCTTCTGAGGAAAAGTTTGAAATTAAGACAAGACAAAATTGAAATAATTTAGCTACGTTGGAAAGGCTAGGTTCCACTGTGTTTAACCCTGTCTCCTTCTTGGCCAGAGCAACTGAAGCATAGTGCATGCAGGTAGTGTGCTTGTAGTGCAGTAAATTGTTTGCACTTTGTTCTACTGGCTACTTACACTTCTCATATATTTAGCTGTGCCTCTCTTTTAAATAAAGACACCAAACTAGCTACTATTGCTATTATGGCTTTGCTTTGGGATCAGCCACCTTCTAAGTAAAAGCATACTTATAACTAAACAGTTATCTGGAAAAACACGATTTATTAAATACATGTGTGATAGCATTTTGCAGGTTTTGCTGTTGGTAAACTACAAAGACTTCTAAGAATGGCTCTAAAATAGAAACAATAAAATAGACCTTTTTCATAATCAGATAAAAAGGGCTACTCAGTGGTGTAGTGGCTAGTCCTGCTGCCTTGCATCAAGAAGGTTCTGGGTTGGATTCCCGACTCGCTGTCTTTCTGCATGGTGTTTGCATGGTCTCCCTGAGCATGCGTGGCTTCTCTCCGGGTACTACGGCTTCCTCCCAAAGTCCAAAAACATGACTGTTAGGTTCATTGGCTTCTCCAAATTCTCCTTAGAAGTGAGTGTGAATGGCTGTTTGTCCTGTTTGTCTCTGTGTTGCCCTGCCAGGGAGTGGTGACCTGTCCATGGTGTACCCCGCCTCTTACCAGTAGACATTTGGAGATAGGCACCAGCACCCCTCGCGACCCTTGGGATAAGCATGACGGAAAAAATGGATGGATGGATAATGGGATGATATA